TCGCTCTCTCTCTCTCTCTCTCTCTCTCTCTCTCTCTCTCTCTCTTTCTCTCTCTCTCTCTCTCTCTCTCTCTCTCTCTCTCTCTCTCTCGAGTACACATGCCCTACTGAAAATTTTCAAATAGTAATAATAATAAATAAAATTAAATAAATAATTCTTTAAAAACTTCAATGAAGACACTGATGGGTTTATGAAACTTCTAACCAAAATAAAACTAGAATGAGACAAAAAAAATTGTGGGAAATAAACTTAGTGACTATTCACATATCTCAAAATGCCTTAGTATGGTTTTCTATTTCCTTAATAGTTTTGCTACATGGAGAACTCTAAGCTTAGAATTATTTTTCCTCATTAGCTTGGATTTGTCCATTATCTCTTATCCAATATTTCCAATGAGAAACATCATATCCAAATGCCATTTTCTTTGCAGTGACCAGCAGCCACCTCTGCCCAAGGAGGGAAAATGTTCTTTAAAAAAAAAAAAATGGACATTTTATTTTATTTTTAAATTTTTTTAAAGGAATTATTTAATTTTATTTATTAGTATTATTTTTTTAACTTGACCAGAGAGAAACAGAGAGCGAGAGAAAGTGAGAAAGCAAGTCTCCAGGTCCAGGACTCAAACTGCAGTCGGCCATGTAGAAGTTCAATGCTTTAACCCCTACACCACATGCTGGCCCCCAAAATTGGATATTTTATAATTTTATAAGCATATATTTAGGTGTGAGCCATTCAGCTACCATCACGTATTTAATCTGTTTATGTATTTTTCCTTGGATTATCTCTTTAATAAACTCTTTCCTTTACACACACTCTTACTGAATTTTCAATATTCTGAACTAATCTGTCCTTTACATTTTTTATTTTTAGTTCCTACACACTTTTATCTTATTTTTGGAAATTAATCAAATTTATGTCACAGTTTGCAATCTCTTAATAGCCAAGACTCTTCCTTATTCTTGGTTTCCTTTCTTTTCAAGGAATATTCTTCTTATTTTGCAGATGTGATATTTTCTCAATTTTCTCTGACTCACTAGCAGATTTTTCAGTTCTCTTTTCTCTGATTGTTGTGATTCTTCTGGGGTCAATAGTTCTCTTTGTTCACATGCAGTCTCTTTTATTTTGCTTATAGTTTTTGTCTGGATATTTGCATTGCAAATAAAATATTAGATTGAATATCATAGACATTTAACACAATTTCCTTAGCCATTGTGCAGGTTGATTCTAAAGCATCCCACCTGGGGAACACATTGCATCTCTTCCAATCTGCTGAGCCCTCCTTAAGATAGGTGGGCAGGAACAAGACACTGTCTAGGGACCATCCAACACCAAAATGAGGAAAGTTAACTCCATAAGATAAACAACTGAGTAGCTCTCCTAACTTTTCCTGGGCATTTTGCCATTCCTTTAGTGTATGACTCTATTTTTTACCCTAAGAAAAACCTTCCAGTTTTCAGGTGGTTTTTCCAAAATGTTGAGAGAATAGGTCAATGGGGCAGTCATTTATTTAAAAAATAATACAGATAAATCACTCTGACCCCTTCTTTCCAAATCCACACTTACTCCCATAGACGACACTGAGCCCGGTGTCCTCCTTGGAGTCAACCTTGAAGACTATAGCGTCCTCAGTCCTGGTATTTGGGCTCTTTCTTCTCCCTTCCTGGTTCAATCCTGCTCACTGTCCTGTCCATTTTACATCTTACAGACTGAAAA